CTTTAAAGTAACTTTTGCAAAAATTCATAGTCCTTTATCAACGAGTTATACAATCGCGGAGTCTTCGCTAGACTCTGTTGCCGAGGCCAAAGATCTTGGCGTCATTTTTACTTCAAATTTTTCTTTTAGTAGGCATATTAATCTTGTGATTTCTAAATCCTTCTCTGTTTTGGGTTTCGTGAGGCGGAACTGTGTAAAATTCTCTGATCCCTATACTATTAAATTACTATACTCATCTTTTGTTCGTCCCATTTTGGAATATGCTACATATATTTGGAGGCCATTCCACAAAACTTTTATAAATAGGTTAGAACGTGTTCAAAAGGTGTTTCTTAAGTTCGCATTGCGGTCCTTAAACTTTTCGGATCCTATACCACCGTACAGTAGTCGTTTGCTTTTGCTTAACCTTAAGTCATTGGAAACGAGGCGTTCTGTACTTTCCCTGACTTTTGTTTTTAATATTATTAATGGTAGTGTTGATTGTCCTTTTCTCTTAGGTCGCATAAATTTCAACATCCCTCAGCGAGTCTTGCGTAACATTTTGCCGTTCTATTGTGAAATCCATAGAACTGATTACGCGCGCAATGCCCCCTTGGTACGTACCTTAAATGAGCTTAATTTGATCTCGAATTCTATCTCACTTGATTTCTCTTAGTCAAGAAATTTATTTATTAATCTTTTGTATTCTTTCTTTTGAATCTTGTATCCAGTTTAATCAATAGTTTGAGTGTCCTGCATATATTAATTTTGTAACTAGTCTGTAAGAAACTACTGTTTCATAGACGAATAAATAAATAAATAAATAAATAAATAATTGAGTTGCAAGTGAAACGCTGTTTTGATAAGGTGCTGTGAATAAATGAGTCACAGTTAATTTCGGACAAATTTTAAAATTATTGTTTAATTTATCTATCTCGAACAATTTCCTGATTACTGCAATGCTCGCAATGCCGTCGGATGTTTTAATGTCATCTTTTATTATAGTATGTCGAATTGTTTTTATTAAATGGCAATAGTCATACATGCAAAATATTTTTGTGTGATCATGAATAAAATATGGTCGACCTTCACAAATATTGAAACGATTGAATAAACCAATATGGCTGGACGCTCGGTCACAAACGACCGCTTTCACATTCAACCCGATTTTCTTTAGTGCGTCGATATTTCGAAGTAAAATATTTTGCATGTCTTTGTGTAAACCGTTCTCCGAAATATAGTACAATAATACATATTTCCATTCCGAAAGTATACCTTTAACCATGAAGAAATAAGCGTTTGTCTTTCCCATGATCTACAAACCCATCAATTGTTTTGGTTGTACGTGAGATCTGGTTTCATGCATATTGCGTCGAAAATTAAAACGCAGAGGCGTTCGGTTACGGACTTTCTTCGAACAAGTTTGTGCAAGTTTTCAAGGACATTTGCATCTAACCCCGGATCGACATGATGAACGGGGCGCCATTGCAAAAGAGATGTTCGATCTGGTAAAGCAAAACCCAAATCGTCACGCATAAAAGAATCCGTTTTTGTAGATATATAATCAATACTTAGGGCCAAGGCCTTTTCGTCCTCACTGTAAGAACCTTGGTTACTATTCACGATCATTTTCGCAAAATTAATAGGGTCGCTACTAGCAGAAGCATCAGGTACAATTGCCCGAGCGTAGAATTTTCGAAGTTTCTGTATTTCTTCTTTTAAATCTATTATTTTTTTATTCAAGGTAGCCGCGTTGCTCTGATTTTTACCAGAAGCCTGAGCAAATCGTTCGTCGCTGGTTGTGGAGTCAAAGTCTACGCCGCAGATGTTTGGTTGTTTAATTTCGATAAATTCTTCTAAACATTCATTTGCTCTTGAACCTACAGAAACAATACTAGGTGAGCGACTCCTAGATGTTGTTACTGGCTCTAAAGTAAGTGAGGGAACAGCCCCTTTTAAAAGCTTAGAATTCATTACAAAGTGAGGCTCAAAATGGCGTTGACAGACAAATAAATTGGCAGTGTTTGATGGTATCACGTTGCACGCCTCGGCCCAACTATTTTGGTAAATTCGGCTTCTAGGGAACGCGTGCAAAACAGGTTGGCCGTCAGACACGCATCCCGTCACACAGCAAATCCGCGTTTTCATCGACGTGGTGCAGGCATACGGCGGAATGCCATCATACCCTAATCATAAAATATGTATATAAATTTTGAGAGCGAATTACCTCAATTGTTACCTTGTTTATACCGACACATTGGGCCGTATGCATAAAAACTAAGCAATTGCTTTTACTTAAAATTTCATACCTTTCACTTAAATTTATTTGAAAAAAGGTCTGAAATTTTAAGAAAACGTATTTGCTTAGTTTTTATGCATACAACCCATTAAGCGCTTTCACCCAGTTCACTGTGAAATGTGAAATCAAAGCACTTTATGTGTCAGTATAAAAAGCATTTGTTACTGGATAATTTTTACATATCTTCCATGTAAAAACATTTAACTAAATATGCAATATGCAGGAGCAGCTGTAATGGTAAATTTCCAATTGAGAAAGCTTGATCATGCATTATATGGAAACTCGCGTGTAATTATGTGCATATGTATTACTACGTTTATGCGCTATGCGGCAGAATTCACGAATTCTTCATTTCATGAATTCAAAAATGGTTCCGTTTATGCATATGGTTTTTTAGCATTTATTTTAATCTGCAAATGGCGGTGGTACCAGGAAATGGTCCATGTTATATTAATTTTTTGAATATTACAGTGTTTTAAGTCATGGTTATGACATTATGTTATTATTATGCTTATGTTAAGTGTTGGGATAGCACCTCGTCTTAGAAACATCCGACCAACGTCGGACAACTCAAAATGATCCGCACGCACAAAGGAGTTGTGCGGTGGATTATCCTTTATGCGGAGATTTTTCCTCCATTTGGCCACCTCACTTGCGTCCTTGGAGAACGAAAAAAAAAACGCCTATCGCTAGTTTTGTTAATGCAATTTTGTACACGGCATTTTCGCTCACGGCCCATTTTTAAAAGCCTTGTTTGCAAAAATGTATAGCTATAAATTAAGCTATATCACAATTTTGTTTACAAACNTATGTTAAGTGTTGGGATAGCACCTCGTCTTAGAAACATCCGACCAACGTCGGACAACTCAAAATGATCCGCACGCACAAAGGAGTTGTGCGGTGGATTATCCTTTATGCGGAGATTTTTCCTCCATTTGGCCACCTCACTTGCGTCCTTGGAGAACGAAAAAAAAAACGCCTATCGCTAGTTTTGTTAATGCAATTTTGTACACGGCATTTTCGCTCACGGCCCATTTTTAAAAGCCTTGTTTGCAAAAATGTATAGCTATAAATTAAGCTATATATTATAATATATAATCACAATTTTGTTTACAAACCTCGACTGCACGTTCAAGGACGTTTATTAATTTGTGTTGGTGTGATTTTTTAACGTTTTTAATAGTGCAAAAATGGCGCAATTTAATTTAATGCTTTTTCGTTTTCCCGTTTAATTAAGTGGAAATGGAATTACAGTTACATGGAATGTGGTTATTTAGACAAATGTCGGTTTGGGACAAATGCAACAGGGTGAGACGTGTTTATCACCCTATACTTCCAGTAGTGCATTCCAGTGATGAACTCGCCGCAGTGTGAAGGGTTGCATTCGCTATCGGCTAAAAGCGATTGCAAAAGATTTGTACATATATTTGTAGGGTTTCGCAGCCAGAAGTTTAATTCAGGAAAAGTTTCAAAATAGACATGGGTAATAGCGTAATTTTTATGGCGCCAGCTCAATTATCAAAGTTATGGTATGGTGTACTTTAAATTTGCCAAAATACATAAGTTTCTGGCGTTCTCACCACTTAAAAGCAAAAACAACGTACTTGTAATTTTTCAAAGAATGAATTAAGACGAATTGTGTCATGTGTTTCTTGGTGTTGGCGCGGCACCTCCGGTTACGGTGTTAACGCATATGCGCCGCGCAGCGCTGTATTACCCATTCCTAGTGCAAAAATTCCCAGTGTTCAATCAATAGCAAAAGTGTAAAAATCATTTGAAAATTTGGGGAAAATGGCTGACGGTGTAAATTTCGATTCCGAGTGGAGAATTTTATGAAAATTATTAATTAGAATTGATAAAATATGCCGCGGTATCAAATGAACAATTCTTCGCTAACTTAAATTTATAGTGAATAGTGAGTTGCAGTGATATTACAGATGGGCTTTGCTGAACTTGCTGGAAAAAGATCAATGTTACAAAAAATAAGAAAATCAAGATTACAAAAAAAAGAAAAAATACTAAATGCGAAATAGTATAAATAAGTGAACATTTTTTTCAATCTGGCGGGTAAATCGAGGAGTTTTTAGAAAATTACCAGCTCTCGCATTAAATGTGTATATGGAATTGTATTGTGCGAAAAGTTGTATANAAATGGCGCAATTTAATTTAATGCTTTTTCGTTTTCCCGTTTAATTAAGTAGAAATGGAATTACAGTTACATGGAATGTGGGAATTGGGTCAAATGTCGGTTTGGGACAAATGCAACAGGGTGAGACGTGTTTATCACCCTATACTTCCGGTAGTGCATTCCATTGATTTCCGGTAGTGCATTCCAGTGATGAATTCGCCGCAGTGTGATGGGTTGCATTCGCTATCGGCTAAAAGCGATTGCAAAATATTTGTACATATATTTGTAGGGTTTCGCAGCCAAAAGTTTAATTCAGGAAAAGATGCAAAATAGGCAATGTTTAATAGCGTAATTTTTATGGCGCCAGCTCAATTATCAAAGTTATGGTATGGTGTACTTTAAATTTGCCAAAATACATAAGTTTCTGACGTTCTCACCACTTAAAAGCGAAAACAACGTACTTGTAATTTTTCAAAGAATGAATTAAGACGAATTGTGTCATGTGTTTCTTGGTGTTGGCACGGCACCTCCGGCTACGGTGTTAGCGCATATGTGCCGCGCAGCGCAGTATTACCCATTCCTAGTGCAAAAATTCCCAGTGTTCAATCAATAGCAAAAGTGTAAAAATCATTTGAAAATTTGGGGAAAATGGCTGACGGTGTAAATTTCGATTCCGAGTGGAGAATTTTATGAAAATTATTAATTAGAATTGATAAAATATGCCGCGGTATCAAATGAACAATTCTTCGCTAACTTAAATTTATAGTGAATAGTGAGTTGCAGTGATATTACAGATGGGCTTTGCTGAACTTGCTGGAAAAAGATCAATGTTACAAAAAATAAGAAAATCAAGATTACAAAAAAAAGAAAAAATACTAAATGCGAAATAGTATAAATAAGTGAACATTTTTTTCAATCTGGCGGGTAAATCGAGGAGTTTTTAGAAAATTACCAGCTCTCGCATTAAATGTGTATATGGAATTGTATTGTGCGAAAAGTTGTATAGGCTTTCCAACAATGGAAGAAGGAAAAAAGTTACAAACGTATTGCCTTCGCTAGGATCAGGCACTTGCCGGCAAACAATCCTAAAAAATGTTGAAGGCATTTTTTTATGCATTTCCGGAAGTTTTTTTATTTTGCTTTTTTTTTGTAATCAGCATATTGTTTGTAATTTACTATAAACTTAAAGAGATCTATGAATATACACATTACATATGCCTGTACATATACATATGTTCATATTTCAGAATATCTGATCTTTGCAGAAAAACCGAAGAACCGTAACGCAAAAGAAGAATTGACTAATCAAAATGGAAGAATTTAAAATGATGAATAATTCTGCATACGATACAAATGTGGTACATCAGAATCAAACCGCTATTCAACATCAGACACACCCTGGACATACGCCACATCATACAAATATGCCACCAGCTATTAGTGGCTTTTTTCATCCTCATGCTTCGACACTACCAATAGCCGCTCATCAGCATGCACAATTGCAACATCCCACGGTCAGTACTGGTGGGAGTAATGACCGACAAGTTGCTGCCAATTCGACGGCCGCTGCTGCTTCTCATGCTACTGGCCTTTTCGATCAGGGTCAAANTTAAATTTATAGTGAATAGTGAGTTGCAGTGATATTACAGATGGGCTTTGTTGAACTTGCTGGAAAAAGATCAATGTTACAAAAAATAAGAAAATCAAGTTTACAAAAAAAAAAGAAAAAATACTAAATGCGAAATAGTATAAATAAGTGAACATTTTTTTCAATCTGGCGGGTAAAACAAGAGTTTTTAGAAAATTACCAGCTCTCGCATTAAATGTGTATATGGAATTGTATTGTGCGAAAAGTTGTATTNAACCACAACTGCTGCAACAACACCAGTTGCTCACACATTTTCGATGGCTACGCATGCTCCACAACAGCCATCGCCCATTATACCAGCTATACATCACAAAGTGTTGCTGGATTCAGTTAGTAGCGGTGGCGCCGGGGGAGTTCTAAATACCGATTCTTATACCAGCCAAGATTCTACTTTGGTAATAGACGAACCCGACTCAACTACCACAACACCCCATACTCCACCGACTACGCCAGAAAATAATTCACCTCCGTCACCGCCAACGAATTTGGCATCTACAAGATCAGCAGTAGTCCCACAATCAATATTAGCTCAAAATATAATTGGAGAAACAGTCGTTTCTGGAAAAGAGAACTATTCTGCAGCTCAAACAACAGTTTGTGTGTCCTCATTTAAGGCGTCAATAAATAAAGCACAACACAAAATTTCAACTTGTACATCCGGTCAATCTATTACTACAATATTACTTGACGATGAAAGCGACTATATAAAAAGCGGCTTGGAAAAGGATGCAGATTCTGGAAGAGGTGGGACTGCTGGAAACACTCTGAACGAAAGTGTTATGGAAATAGAAGATAATGAGGTGGATGAAATATCAACACAGGATACTGTAAGCATGATGAACAATACCAAATCTGGAGACATCGCGGATCTACGTCCAATACACGAAGAGCTTGGTATTGCCCAGTTGGACGAATCCAAAGGAGAAACCGTTATGCAAGAATCGCAGTTAGATTCTCCCCCATCGCCCACACCAGGAAAACCCGTTGAAATAATATCAAATGAAACTTCCTTATCAGTTACAATCCTCACTCCACCAACGCCCACAAGTTCATCACCAACCTCAGACGATGAGCTGAAAAGTATAAGCTCTAAAGAGATCAGTTTCGCCATGGGTGAGGATGTGTTTATTCGCAAAGAAGATAGTCGCCAGTATCTTGGCACAGTGATCGGAAGTAGCGCTGGTGGTGGACTGAACAAGCCACAATATATTCAGTATTTGATCCGCTTTGATGATAACTCAGAGTTATGGTGCGGCATTGAGGACATGAGGCGGTTTGGCGGTAGTAGTGGAAGCGGTAACGCGCAAATGTGTGTAGCTTGTAAGCGCCCTCAAGTACAAGACGTGGTGGAAACTTGTGAAGATTGTAGGCGTGGTTACCACCGGGGCTGCACCAGAGAAACAAAACCGGGCAGTGGTGTATGGTGGTGTTTACGGTGAGTTTATATCAATAATAGTGATGATTCCAGTAATGCATTGCCATACAATTTAGATGCAGCAAGCCCATGAAGAACCCAATACACGAAGCCCACAAGGCTGCTGGCAAGCCATTATTGCAGCACAACAGGTAGGTGTACATACACATAATATTCGGTTTCGCCAGTACTTTAACTTTCTAACGTATGTATGTAGATATTCATTCAAACTCATTAAATATTAATTGCAGGAGTTATAAGAACACTGGTGATATTTCCAAGACATTGGCTTCTCAAAAACTGAAAACTCCAGCAGATGTTTATGAATTTCACATTGAGGATAGCGAGACATTTACTTCAGATGATGAAATTCCTATAAAACATATTATGGAAAAAGCACGAAAAAGTAGGGACCCAACTCAAAACTCCAATGCCATTAGTATCAGGCCGAAGTCAATCAAGAAGCGCAACAATTTCGATGATATGTTATGTGAAGAAATTGTGTCTCTGGATGACGAGAACGCAAATGATGCAAACAGTGTCAATAAAATGCCAGTGTCCTCCCTAATGGATAAAGTTAAAGAAAAAGGCCTGCAAAATGGCATGTCATCTAAACCATCTAAATGTGCTACTAGTCTTAACCAAGGCAAAGAAAGAATTGATACTGGTGGGATAATCCATGATAGTGTTCTTGTACCTCAAACAGTTGACCACAAAAGTACTTCATCTGTTTTCATAAAAGAGTCATCAGTAACAACAGAGCGCAGCAGTCGTAAGCGCAAGGCATTCACATTATCAAATTCCTACAAGGAGGTTGCCGCTGAAGCAGCATCAAAGCGCTACGATAGCAGTCGCATCTGTGACTCCTCTTCTGATGAAAACTCGTCAAGTAGCCGCGGTACTTCCCTGGATGTCATCATACCGCCGCCGAAAAACTTTCTTGGACTTAATAATCCCTTTCGAATGGTTACACCTAAGAAGAACTCGTCCGCAACACATGCAGGCGGTGGTGTCAAAAGCTTACTAAACTTCAATTGCAATGGCACAATGATTAAAAGCAGTATTTTTAATACAACAGCCTTGGATTTCAGCTCCAAGTTGGCAGCGCTTAAAAGCGCTGGCATGTTCCCAAACCTTAGTACAAGTAATTTAGCCAAGGCTGCCGGCCAGCCCCGGACAGTGCGCACGATCAAGAGAAGACTGAGTGCCAAAGATATAACAATCGGCCCAAACCAAGAGGTGCGTAGAAGAAGAACTCGTCGCCTATCCTCCAATGTAGAGGTAAATAAAGAGTATACCATATACATACCATATGACACATCAGCACACTCTTATATTTACAGGTTATTAGTACAACCACAATCAATCCCATTCCCAGCAATTTCTTCCCAATACATGCCAAAGATTTGCTTTCTACACATACACATCTCATCACGAGCGGCTCTAAGAATATGTCATTACAAAGCAAACAACAAAAAGCAGCCGCATCCGTATTCGTTTCTTCAACATCCTCGTCCGCGTCGGCCTCGGCGTCTTCATCACCACCTGGTTCAGTGACTTCAAGTGTGGAATCGCAAGTGGAAGTTTTACCACCATGTAAACCGTCGCACGGACGACGTTTAAGGCAGCGCCCACAAAAGAATTCTCCTGTCAACAGTCGCCGCAGTTCAATCTCAAGCGCAAGCACGGCTTCTTCGACTAACTCCTCCAGCAACATTACATTAGCTGCATTGCAGCAACAACAGCAAGCAATACGTACCAGTGGTAATACAAATACGGGCAGTGCAAATGCGACTAGTATGCAAGATCTGAAACAATCAGTTAAAGAATATTTCGGTGGAGTAATGAACCGTATCGAATCTGGCGAGCAGTTTTGCATCCGTGCTAAAAGACAATTGGCAAGTGGACAGATGCAATATCTGATTGAATGGGGGGATGTTACTGGGGCATTGCAGCAACCACAAACAACACCGACATCCAGCACAACAACAGCGTCGTCGGCATCTGCAACTGCAACAGGAGAAGTCAATCAATAGAGAATCAGTGCTTTTTACTGGGGCGTTAAATTGGTTTTAAATCCCTAAATTTCGGGTTACGTCTTCGGCATGTAATTGTGGATTTGCAAATTGTAAGTATAGCGTTACAATATATTTAAGTTTTTAAATTTATTTATATTTAGTAAAGTTAAGCCGTTTTCATTGTGGATAGTTAAGGGGATTCGGCAGTTAACTGTAGATTTTCAAGATAAAAATGGTAAGTTAGGTGCCGATTGTGAGTTAACTCTTAACTATGTATGCCCTAAATCGCGTTAATTGGCTGTTATTTTATTTCCAGTTTTAAAAATACATTAGCAAATCAATTTGCAAAAAAAAAAAAAAAATTATTTAAAATGTTTTCTATGGTTTTCTTAGGAGGAAGAAGTAACTTGATTTGCGATTTTAGAATTTATTATTTATTGTTTGGAATCAACGACAGTGGTATTTTTTTTAATTCAAGTCCTTTTCATTTTATTTGTTTGCCTGATCATTATTTACTGCCTTAATTATAAATCATCTATTCTTGAAATTTTTCTTAACAAAATACAGGTTTGAACGTGCAATGGCTGAATTAGTTATAAACCCATACAAGTATAAACTATCATATGTATATAAATGTGAAGGTGAATATTGCAAGATTTAAGTTACTGTTCACTGCTGTGTTACTGCAAGATTGAAATGCAATTCTTCAAAGCTCAAATGACCCCTAAAAGATATATGTATGTATGTATGTATGCCAAGTTAACACCTGTTAATCATATAAAAACTGTACTGAATATACTAAAAACTGAGGTTAAGAAGTTGTGGGGAATTCATTTAGATTTATAATTAAAATAACGGCTTGGTAAACCCCTAGCCGATTCCATTTGCATAGCACACAAAATAAATCGCAGAAAAATTTCCTTATTACATATGTACATATTTGGAATTTCATTGAAACTTGTATTTTTTCTTAGACGATTTGGATAAAAAAGTTGCTGTTATTTTAAAAACAGACAATGGGTTTAAATGGAATTAATAAACAATTTTATGAGTATTATAAATACAAACATTTTTAATTTGAATAAATCATTAATTAAGTTCGAGTTTAGTATATATTCTGTATGTATATTTATGTAATTGAGTAATAATAATAATAAATATGTTTGTGTAAAAATATCGTCGTAAAGAAAGACTATAAATAACTGAATAATTTAAGAGGGTGTGAGAAAAGCGGCTTTAAAATTTTTCTTAGGAGTTCCTTCAGTAAAAGTGAAAGTAATGCGCGTTATTGCTTCGCCGTCACCATCACCGGCAGTTGTCAAAAAAGTTAAATCGGTTTATATTGGAGTCGGTGACGCACAAATTAGCTCAACTTTCAGCTTTGCATAAGAATTTGCATCAAGTGACAACTATGCAGTGTTTTGTTTACATGTTTGAACGTAAATTTTGCAAAGATTAGCAGCGAGTTTATGATTTTTTGGACGCAATGTCAAACGGATAGTGTGTAACTTGACGCATAAGCATTGTTGACGGTGATGGTGACGGTGACGGTAACGGTGACGGCGACGGCGACGCAATGGATGGTATGTACCCAATAAACACAACGAATTCGCCTCGAATCCGAGACGAGCTCGTTTTCTCTGATAGAACTATCGAGACGATACTTCGCGGTGATAGATCGGCGAATTCGTAGGAGAGTCACCTATTGTTAGCGAATCGAGTACTATAACTTTTTCGAATGTTTGCGATTCGAGAATTTTTTTTGCAGATTCTATAATTTTTATTTTCCGAATTTATTTTTTGAAAAATATATTTTTCACTTCCTGTATATTTATTAATAAAAGGATTCCATTAAGGTAAATAAACAATAGCGTTTAAGAACGCAATAACGATCGTTCGAGAAAACTGATTTACTCGACTCGCCTCGAATTCGAAACGAGACCAAAAAATATGTTCGAGACATTTATTTTCTCGAGTTCGTCTCGATACGATGCCACCCTCGTTTTTGTGTTTATTGGGTACTTTCACTTTAAGGGATCCCAGTAGAACTTGGGATCATCGTATGATTGCTCGGTGAGTACGCCCTTGGAGTATAGGACTACTCCCCACTGCTCCCTATGCTCCTGTGTATAAGCATGTAATTTTGTATACTCCCTTTAAAACGGGATGTCCTAGGGTGGCGAGTAATCCCTTTTACATCCTAAATGAGAAATCAACGAGTTCATTCAGAACTTAACTGCTCGCTTAGAATATATCCCATAACTCTCCTAAGCGAGCAATATAGGAGTAAAAAAAACCGAAAAATCTCATTTAATGCTCCTAAATCATGCCTCAGAGAGCATTCTTGACTTGCTCGCTTAGGAGATCTTCTATATGACTTCTAAGCGAGTAATAAAGGAGTACAAAATCGACAAATCTATCTGTTGCTCCGAAATCAGGTCAAGGGGAGAACTCTTTTATTTCTCATATAGGGAGATCTACCTTCAAGTCCTAGTGGGTTGGAAAAGAATCGNTAAAGGAGTACAAAATCGACAAATCTATCTGTTGCTCCGAAATCAGGTCAGGGGGAGAACTCTTTTATTTCTGATATAGGGAGATCTACCTTCAAGTCCTAGTGGGTTGGAAAAGAATCTTTTTGCATGTATGTATATTTGTATGGTACGTATGCACGTATAAAAAATACCTTAGCAACCATTTATTATGCTTTCATTTTTAATTATTTTATTTATCGTCTTCAATTTGCATACTTTTTGACGAGCTCATGAATAAAACAAATTATGAAAATGGTAAGGCTAAGGCGCGTCTATACTAACATAAGCATATACATACATATGTATGTCCGCAATCAATGTGGAGCTCGGACCTAAGAGATTTCCTTCTGAACATATTTGATCTTTTTTGTTAGCAGAGTTGTCAGCCGAACGTGCTGCTCAAGCTGAGAGTATTATGCGAATCGTAAACGAATCCATTGAAAAATTACAGATTTCCTTAGTAATTCCCAGGATATTGGAGAACCCTTTCACCGTGAGAAGACATTTAAAGAATGAAGAATGCTGGCATGTGATACAATCATACCTAACAATGAAGGTAATTGTTTTGCATCCGTACACTTTGTGTCTTAATCCGATATAAATCCTCCGATATAAAGAAACATAAACCTGAGGAGAATTTGCAGTTGCTTCAGTTAATTGACATGTTTCATGAAAACCGTGAAATGCTCAATACACTACCTAACTGGTTAGATGAATTGAGCGAAGAAGATAAATCTCTTCTGAACGCTTTTACACTGCTGCAAAATATTGTTGCAGAACGTTTGAGCAAGTCGGCAATGGCTGAATTGGCGAAGGAGAAGAAAATTCATCAAATCTATCATGATAACGAGCAGATGAAGAAGAATATCTTAGGTGAGTTCCCAATATTTCAACGTAAGGGTATGGAATAATTACGATTACAATAGTAAGGGCAGTTATATATCTGTATGCACATATGTGCGTATGTATGATCTTTGGCTTTTCATAGAATTGCAAGCCAAATTACATAACCAAAAAATGAACTTGAGATGGAAGTTGGCAGCTAAAGATGGTATTATCAAAAAGTATGAGGCAGATTTGGCGTTTAAAAAATGGGACAATAATGTACGCATAAGAGAAGAACTGTAAGTTATTTAACTATCTGCATTTGGTAAATTTTTTATGCAACCTTAATTATTTAATTTGATTACAAGTTTTATAATATTTCAGTGTGAAATCTAGCAGGCGCATTCACAACATCCACGCCGCCAGTGTAATTAAACAAAAAGAGTTGGAAGAGGAACTAGAGAAAACAAAAACTACATATGGAAAAATTTTAAAACAGAATCTCGCTCATGAGAAGGAGGTTCGCGATGAAAAGTAAGACTAAAAACTAGAGTTGAGCACTTTATTTATTTTGAGTTAACCGTTTAGTTGTACTTCGCTCACCTTAGTGAACTAGTTCTTTAGTTGATTCAGGTTGTTGTTGTAGCAGCATACAAATTCCCCAAAGACTTTTTGGGGAGTGTTGCTGGAGTGACAGTCCTTGGCCAGATATAAGTCTGGGTCGTTCCGGTTACGTAGACCCGACTGTCGTGGGAACGTTGATTCAGGTCATTTAGTTCAATTGACGAGTTATCATACACCCCGCGAAATAGGATAGCAAATCTACATTTTTACCAGTTTTGACTACTTTTCTTTTGATTTTTTTAACTCTCATTTTTTTGTATAAAAGTATATCTCTTTATCTAACAAATAGCATATAAAACTAAATTTCGGGCTTTTTACTTAAATTATAAAAATTACACAAACTTTTCATCCCAATTCCATGCATTTTAATTTATAGAATAATTTTTGGAATAAAGTTTTATAGCTTATTAAATTCTGGTGTAATAATATAAAAAATTACTTTGTAATACAAAGTTTGTATGGAAGAAAATGCGTGATACCGTCAGCATAAAAAGTTATTAAAAATCAATGCGATTTTTTAGCAACTTAAAACTTGCACTTTATTATACTAGATCTTAATAAGCTATAAAATTGAGGTGAAAAGTTTGTGGAATTTTTATAATTTTTGTAAAAAGTCTGAAATTTAGATTTATATGGTATTTGTTAGATAAAGAGCAATACTTTTATATAAATATAATAAACCTTAAAAAAAAGAAAAGAAGTCAAACCTGGTGAAAATGTAGATGTGCTATCTTTTGTCGCGGGGTGTGTTATTATCATACATATACAGGCCTATTATGAATTCCGTCGCGATCACGAATTTCCCCAGCGAATTCGAAATCCGTGAGAATCGTATCACTGATTTCGAGTTATTGTATTTTGATTTAGAATTAATAAACCAAAACATAAAAACAAACAAAAACCAAAGGAACACTAACTATGAATGCATCGGAATTGCTGATAGCATTTCCCCCGAATTCGTGACGAGAGATTTTTCCACCACGGGAGTTCACTCGGAATCTGTAATAGGCCTGATCACAGTGTATAGGGCCTGATTACATACAAAGCAAAAACTTTGGTAATTTGAATTCACAAAATACTTTTACAAACATAAAAAACGCACATAAATATATTGAATATTGTTTAGGAACATAAATCACATACAAATTATTCAGCCTTTTTCAATCGAAGGTATGCATACATACAGTTGCAGTAATGGTAATCCTCTTAGCATTAGTGTTATACGTCCGACATAAAAATATTCAGCGGGATAACTTTCTCAAAATCGGTACTGTTCCGCCGAAATTGGTACGAATGGTAACCGGATATCTGTGTTCGTATGGTATTGTCGCTTATGTCGGGAAGCTGGCTTTTGTATAATACGGCATTCCCTTTATTCTATAAACGACAAGGAATTTTTTGATGAGACTTAATAAGAATATAGACTTCCTAGTATCGGAAATATTTCTGCATGTTTATTTGCCAAAAGTTCTTCAGCGGCTCGGCGCCAGTGAGTCATTCGCAATCGTATGCTGCGAATGTCGCATTATACTAAGGCCAGCTTTCGACATAAGCTACTGTTCCATGCGAACACAGATATATAGGGTGACTTTCGAAAACACTCAGCACAAATTAAAAATTAAAATGCAGCATGAGCAGTAGCGTGGGCGGAAAATCCGGTTTTTACAAGCTTTTTTTTTAGAATATTGATCGGTAATAGCAAAAAATTGTTCATTATGCTCTAAAAATAATCTATGTAAATGATGACCATTTTTGGTCAATATCTTAGGCTCGCCGAAGTCCATCAAAGTTCAGTGTGGTCAAAAATAAAAATCAATTAATAAATTTTTTTTACTAAAATTGCAAATGTTTTCGAAAGTATTAGTCCTACATAATTTACTATATGGACCTTTTTTGTAGAGAATCGAAATAAGCTAACAAAAATTTGTTTTGGCACTTGATCATGGATGGACTTGAGCGAGCCTAAGATACTAATCAAAATTCTAGAAAAGCGGATTTTCGGCCCACGCTAACGAGCGGGTTGAAATTTATTTTCGAAATCCATTTGCTGTTGCAATTACGCCTTGGAAGTTTTATTTCCGTTGTTTGTTTCTGAAAATGGCAAAACCTGCATTTCCGACGTTTATACGGAAAAGTGGATTTTCATTTTCGTAATTTGACGTCAAAATCTGTAGAAAAACGATTTGCATTACCACGTCTAACCATACTTTCAGAAATAAACTTTTACTGCAATTGCAAGCTTTGGTGAAGAAATTCGATCAAAATATTGGCGAAAAAATTAAAGAGAAGGTTTATTTGCAAGAGGAATTTGACGAGCAAAAACGACAGTTTGACGAATTTCTCATTGAATACCAACGCGAGGAGGCTGAATATGAAGCTATCGTTAAAACAAAAGAAGAGGAAGATAGGAGGAGGCACGAGGAGAGAGTCATGCTGTTTATGATGACCCGTGCCGCGAAAATTGTTCAGCGGGCATACCGACGTTATCGTCGCAATAAAAAAAAGGTTGAAAAGAAAAAGGGCAAAAAGAAGCGCAATTGAAGTGGTTTGGAATAGCATACACTCCTCATGGAGGCACTTTAAATCTACGGTAGATGATCGAATCTAGGCACTCAATGAATTTTCAATATATCGAGAAATATTTTGGAAAAATTATTTTGGAAAATTGTAGTTTTCGGTTTGCATGTTTGTAAAAAACAAATAAAGTAATTCTCGCAATCAACCAAAAAAAGAAAATATTTTGTTTGATTCTCATCTCAAAAAATGTCTCGTTTTTACTTTTGCATTTTGATTGTGTCAAAAAAAAAAACGTGAAATGTCTGATCGTTAGCTAATTATTTTTTTTAACCCCGAAATCCGATTTTATGTGCATTTCAAATTTGTGAGAATTTTTTACAAATTCCATTGATTTTCATCGTTACTACAAATACCGTTCCCGTGGCCGCTGTCGAAATCCTCAATTCGGTGATCATCGTCCTAACATTGCCCGTTCATAAGTCGAGTTTTGCAAGAGGATTTCATATATTATTAGCGCAAAGGTAATGTATACACTTGCATCAAATTTGCTATGGATATTATACGTACATACATACAGTGTTGGGCAAATTTTAATTGTAAGGACAATTAACAATTAATTAGTTGTTGATTGCTACCACTACAATAAACAGTTGGTTAATTGTAATTATGGAGAATAACAATTAATTGTTAATTGTAGTGGAGAAACACAAAAAAATTAATTGTTATTTTAGTGGGAGCAATTAACAATTAATTAATTAATTGTTAATTATGATTTTCTGTAGTTAACAATTAATTACTTTTGAATTATTTTGTGAATTTTATTAAAAATTAACTGTTAAAAATGACTACTACATGCAAAGTGTACCAGGTAATTGACGTCTTCATATTTGAAATTAAAATTTGACTTTGTTATTATTTTTTTTCTCATATCTGGTATTCGCTTTTTTCAAATCCACAGCTATGAAATTTGTACACAAACATTGTAGAAGAAGAAGCGGTCATTTCTGCATACCTAATTTGTGTACCTTTCGTATTTTTTATTTTATTTTTGCTTGTAACACATGTGTACATACAGTATTGGACATATCTATAGCACCCCCCTTTCAAAGCGATTTTGTTTGCCACTTATGTTTATTTATTTATTTTTAAGAATTTTCGATCAAAATACAGTTCATTCTCTAACAAAACCCATAGAAAACCCATTTTTAATGTTTTTAATAGACCGCAAAAAAGTGCAACAAACTTTCACTTCACTTTTCACTTTTTTCTTAGAAGCTCTAGACTTTTTTTGGGTACACTGTTTGCAAGTTTCAAGTCGCTGAAGACTACCGTTGATTTTTTAGAATTTTTTTTGTCTCATTTGCTTCCATATAACGACTAAACACAATTTATTTTTAACCGACTTCCAAAAAAGGAGGTTATCAGTTCGTTGGAATATTTTTTATTCTTATTAATTTAAATTTTTTTATTTTTATTTTTTCTATTTCTATTTCTATTTTTGTTTTTTTTTTATTTTTATTTATTTTTTATTTTTATTTTTTTTGTTTTTTTTTTATTTTTTTTTAGTTATGTATGTTATCGCATAACTTTGGACCACGTCAACCGATTTCGATAATTATTTTTGCATCGGAAAGGTAGTGTCTCAGAGGTGGTCCCATACTAATGGTTAAGATCCGAACAGTGGATCATGAGATACATATATATATTTTTTTTTTATATGAGAGTTGAAGTCGGTTTTTTTTTGCTAAAAATTACTTGTTATAGGGCAGAAACCCGCAACATCCTCGACGAAAAAAATTACAAAAAAATCAACGGTAATTTTTAGCCACTTGAAACTTGCACATTATTGGACTAATGGGCTGTTTTTGCTTACGCGTAAATGTACATTTAGCGCATTTAGCTCTAATAGGCTGTTTTTGCTTACGCGTAAAAGCACATTTAGCGCATTTAGCTCTAAATGCTACTCTAAATGTACATTTATCCATACAAAATTCGTCACCTAAATGCAATTAAATGCAACTACATTTTTGCATTAAGAATCTAAATGCTAAAAGCAACCCTGTGATCTTCCAGGATTTCCACGATTCGAACATGGTTTAAAGAGAAAAAGTGGCAACATTGCTTTTTCGGGTATACAGTTGCTAGCTGCGTTTCAGTGATCGCCGATCGAGATTTCTTTTATTTTGCATTACATATTTGGATAAAGATAAGTTAAGCAAATTCAACATCGATTTGATACTGATAGAAATCTGGATCAATTTGTGATCAACTCTGTTTGGTTTGTTTCCTAATTAAGTGAGGAAATTTTAATTGAATGCACCAACAAATAAATATATACACAAACAAATGTTCGTTTATGGTTAAAACAATTCAAGTTTTTGTATTGAATTTTTGGTTTAAAATTTATTTTTTCCTTTTCAGTAGGGTTTTTGCACATTATCTTCTGCGTGAGAATTGATCGTAATATATACGCATCTAAATAAGAGACTGGAACACGGCTGTTTGTCAAAAGCATATGATTTCGAACTCGCGTAAATGTACATTTGCTAAATGCTATAGCATGAACGCTCTTCGAAAACATATGTTCGAAAGTGCTAAATGTTGCATTTTAAATGCAGCAAAAACGCTGCATAGATGCTACTCTAAATGTACATTTATCCATACAAAATTCGTCATCTAAATGCAACTCAATCTTTGCATTTAGAATCTAAATGCTAAAAGCATCCCTGTGATCTTCCAAAATTTCCACGATTCGAACATGGTTTAATGAAAAAAGGTGGCAACATTGCTTTTTCGAGTATACAACCGCTAGCTGCGTTTCAGTGATCGCCGATCGAGATTTCATTTATTATTTTACATTATTTGGATAAAGAAAAGTTACGCAAATTCAACATCGATATGATGCTGATAGAAATCTGGATTAATTTGTGATCAACTCTGTTTGTTTTGTTTCCTAATTAGGTGTGGAAAATATAATTGGCAGCACCGACAAATGAATATATACACAAACAAATGTTCGGTTATGGTTAAAACAATTCAGGTTTTTGTATTGAATTTTCGGTTTAGAATTTATTTTTCCTTTTCAGTAGGGGTTTTTGCACATTATCTTTTCCGTGTGAATTTATCGTAATGGATACGGATCTGAATAAGCGACTGGAACACGGCTGTTTGTCAAAAGCATACGATTTCGAACTCGCGTAAATGTACATTTGCTAAATGCGATAGCATGAACGCTCTTCGAAAACATATGTTCGAAAGTGCTAAATGTTGCATTTTAAATGCAGCAAAAACGCTGCATAAAATTTAATGGGCTATAAAACTGTGTATTCAAAAAAATTCGACTGAGAAAACAGTTTGAAATTTGGGTGAAAATTTGTTGCACTTTTTTGCTTTCTTTTAAAAAGTTTTAAACTTGAGTTTATATGAGTTTTGTGAGAGAATGAACTGTATTTTAATTGAAAATTCTTTATTTATTTTTTTTTTTTATAAATAAACATGAGTAGCAAACAATATCACTTTGAAATGGAGGTGCTATTGTATTGGCCAATACTGTACATACATATGTATACATATCGCTGGCTTATACTATGTGTCCATTTTGATTTAAAGCAGATTTAGCCCTATTACGAGATTTAACGTTAAATCTTATGAGATTTACCATATAAAATTAAATCTCGAAAGGCAGTAGATTTAAGTTAAATCCTCAATGTTATTGATCAATATATACAAATTGTTGGGTGTGGCAACCACAAATTCACATGCCATAAGCCAAATGACATTTCGTCGCCTGGGTAAAAGATTGTCAGCCCAATTCTGAATGCTCCCAGGAAGTGTGTTCTCCGGAAATTTGTTTCTCCCGAGAAAGAAATCATCCAATAATTAACTCCCAGGAAGTAGCATTTTTCCCGAAAATTTGCTAAAACTATTTAATTTTTAACGTTTATTTTTAATTAGTTTCGAGTTTATGAAGGATTTTCTTTAGTAAAATTTTGTCGTAAGCGTCATTTGTCCACGGTTTGGCAGCCACTTTGTATGAAATACGACAAAATGTGATCAAAATTAACGACACTTTTTACTCAATATCTCGGAAACTAAAGGAGATATCCCTAAATGGAGTTTAATATGACGGCGTTACTAACTAAATTTTTACTAAAATATCGAAAAAATTGTCAATATCTCGGAAACTAAAGAAGATATCTAAAACCTGATAACACCAATCGAATGACCTTATTTTAAACTATATAACTGCATCTGGAACTAAAAATCGTCAAAATTGCGGTTACGACAATCAAATGTCTCTTAGAGCACCTGCATCAAAAAGTAAATTTAAAAAAAATATATATACATTAGTTGCGTTCGATAACAAAATTAACCAAAACCAGCCAACAATCAAAATGAAGAGAGTAAGCGAAAATCCTCTCCCAAAGAGAAGAAAATGCAAAAAAGTAAACGAACAGGAAATTAGCCATCACTTGCAAAAACCGGAAGAAGAAGACACACCAGCTGACTTTGTTTATGTTTTATTTGTAAACAAACTGAAATTCATGTTGCCTCCATGGAAGAAAAAAGGAAAGTGAACGTTCAATGTTCGCTAGGAACATTTCTAGAAGTAAAAACTAGTTGGCGCTATCATAAAGCCACATAGCAGGCGGCCAGAAAGCATATAAATACCAAAACTCGAAAAATGCAATTTTGTTTGTTTACAAAAATTGCAACCATATGTTTTGTGATCATATGTTTTCGTGTTGGATAATTTTTGCTGAGTAAAATTTTGCCAGTACAAAATGAACGCTCCTCTTGCATCAAAATGAACGCTTGCTCTCTCAATTTTTGTGTGTTGGATAATTTTTTGTCGTTATCGAACGCCATCCAGTAAAAATTTGGAAAAACTATTACAAATTTTTGACTTGTCGAACGCACCTATTATTTTAGCGGTTAGGGCTCGGTATGATGAATTTCTCCGATGCTCGTCGTTATTTGGAAATCTGAAAAATTGGAAGATGGAAGATCTTTTCCTAACAAAGGCAAAACTTATTTATACATAAAGCGTGTGGTATTTTATACGTTGGTCGAATCCAATAAAGCACGTTCTTCGATTCCCTTCTATGCTGATTGACGCCAATTGGAAATGCCAACTGATACCAAGTCGTCTAACTGGTATTTTTATCCTCTGCCACCACCAACGGCCGCAGCGCTTCTCATAGATTTACAAAAATTTTTTTCTTCTGTTTTTTCTTTGTTAATTTTTCATAAGAGTTGTTTTTAAATAAAAATTTGTGAACCCGCTCCTGAATTTTGAAAAGTAAAATTGTCATTTTGAGTACATTCGCTTATCGGATCTCTCTTTCTTTTTTCAATATTTCGGCACTCTGATGTTGGGGAATGTACTTTGAATCATGATAAAAACATTACAAGGTAAAATCATTGAGAGGCAGTCTGACGTTTGCCAACAATATAATTTTAAAATTCGAGCTCAGGCTCACACACACATTCTCATTTTTAATCTCAAACAACAACAATTGTGAACAATTTCATTTTTTTATTTTCAATTTTATATGATTTTAAAATGTTTGCAAACGTCAGAAAAAAATCATGGCCGACGAATTGAGAGAATGGTTTTACCTTCTAATGTTTTTATCATGCTTTGAATGTACTAGCAATATAGAAGTATTACATATATGGTTACAGGTATTGTCTTCCCAGATAGCGTATATTCAATTCTGCCTTAATTACAAAACATCATTGTTGCCCACGCTTAAAGTTTAAAGGCAAGGGAAAAATTTATATTTTCAAGCACTATTTACACATATGGGCTTATTTAAACTAACTTTTTTCCCTGAAAACTTATTTTAATTCCAAAAACCGAAGGCCAACTTGAATTAAAAGAACCAGCACTGAAATGCATAAAAATGAAAGTAAAAGAACACAAATTTCTATGTAAAGCAAAACTCTCTAGGAAGACAATAGGTTTGTTCGTCGAAAATCCAGCGAAAATTATCACTCAAAATATCAGTTAGTAAGAAAAAATGCTCCGAAATTCTCTCTCAAGTGGAGAAACTTGCAAATTTCTATACGAACGCAAATTTGCAGGAACTTGCAAGTTTCTCTGCCAGCTAGTGTCCACGGTTGCATTTAAAACATAAGAAATTTGTTAGAATTTTAAAGTTCTTTCAGAGGGACAGAAAACAGGATCTACATGTATATTTCTTGCTAGTCCGACTTTCTTCAACATACGTTTCAATTTCTTTGCCGTACTGTCGCGTTTCCTATATCGACTCTGGTTGAGATTGCGTTATGGGCTGTTTTTGCTTACGCGTAAAAGGGCAAACAGTCAACGACGTAACGTAGACGTAGGTTGACGCAGACACGATCTACCTTATGGGATTCGCGTCCCTGCAAGAACAGTGACTATCATTTGACAAATCATTTAAGTGGCAAGACCGCATGGCGGTGACGTTGCCGTTGTTTCTCTCTATCAACAGTAAATTTTGTATTCTGCTACGTACGTCAACATACGTTTACGCTACGTCGTTGATAGGCCTTTCGCACGAGGCGATTTTTCAGGCAACAAAAGTTGAATGCGGAGTTGAATGAGAAGTTGAAAGTGAAAAAGTTGCCATCCCTATTCACACGAGGCGAATTTCGATTCAACTCGAATTGTTGTTTACATTATTTAAAATGAGTTTAAATCGCCAAATTTTATCAATTGGCGTAAATTTGGTAAGCCAAGCGTTGGTATAAGTGCTTTTAGCGAAGCTGAAAGATAAAATAAGAGTAAAAAAGTAAAAAAGAAAAAAAATATGTATACACAACAGTGTTGGCATTTTTTGGTACAATTGTACTTGTTTGATACAATTTCATTTACAATATACTTTCCTACTACGCAGTACTTTTTAATACAATTTTGTAATGAATACTAAAAATATATAGCTCTGAAAATTCACAGCAAGAAATTTTTTGTATTCTCTTTTGTTCGCCAGTTCGTATTTACCTTTGTAAGTTTTGAAAAATGGCTTGAACGAACCAGTATAATACAGCCTAGGCAAATTTTTAAAGAAACTTTTCGATACTAAGTTTTATTAAAACAAAATGTCG